TTACTTTTATTATTTTCATGCATGTTCATTTGGAAGGATAGCAGTCAAAAAGGTGGATCTTTTGTTCATTTTTCCCCAATTACTTATTTTTGTTATTTAGTTATTGCATGATATTTATTTCAAGGATATATTATTTCTTACATTTCTATAATTTTAACCGGACCTGCTAATGTAATTTTAAAAAATAACCATGCAAGTTTAAAAATGATTTTAAGTTTTTAAAATTATTAGAAAAGTCGATATGTTACCAACAGTCCTTACACAGTCAAACAATCATGTCACCTGTAAGACACTTTCAATGAATTTGTTTTAGTGGTTTTGGTATAACATAAAACTAGTTTATAAAGTGGCTATGAATTATTTAATGAAATGAGACTCAGTAGATTTCTACAAAAACAAAACACATGATTTTTGAATTTGATAGAACACGTACAAGATTTAATTAATTAATAAAAATCGTCGACATTGACAAAATGCTAAAACAAAATTATTCATTGTTTATGAAATTCATTTTTTCCCTTTATTTTCAAAACTAATTCGAAAAGTATCATTAATGGAAATTTTTTTGCTTGCTATTCCCTATGACCTTATTTTTAAGGAGTCTTGGAACATATATATATATGTATATATATATATTTGGATTAACCCTTTGAACGTCAGTCCTGGCTTTTTCTGAGCCGCAAGCTTTCCTGCATTGAAAAACCAGCTTCCATGTTATTCAGTGGGCAAGTAATACAGAGCAGACAATTTCCCCCAACAATTTCACCCTGAGGCTCAATGCCTGGAGGGTTAAGGTATTGAGATCTACAAGCGATAAGAATAAATTTTGGAAAGATCCCTTATGCCTGCATTCATTGTAACTAAGTAATTTAGTGTTAAATATTTCAGGAGAAAAAGTAAAGTGTTTGGGGAAGAAAAAACACCATGGGTAAATTTTAATCTAGTGATCGCATCTTCACATACTAGGGTTTAATCATAATGGTTTAAATGGGTAACCTGAAATATACTAATTAATTAGTGTGGGTGATATTTTAAGTTACAAAATCAGATACAAAAATGTACTTTCTTTGAATAAACACGCCATTTTTTTCCCGACATACTTGGATTTCTCTAACCTCAAAATATAGGGATAGCCACAACCTAGAAAATATGGTCCCAATGTCTGGAAAGCGGTTGAAAATTTAGGCTCCTTATAATGTTAATTTCACTATTTATATATTTTGAGAACTTTCTAAGCGAATTGAAGATGTTATGCACACAATTATAAAATGCTCTCCTGACGAAACTTGTGAGACAATATATTCTACAATGCGATTATCCCCTATATATTGAGGGTCAGGAATCCAAACTAGTAAAAAAAAGGTATGTTTATTCAGAGAAAGTATGTATATTTTTGTCACTGAGTTTGAAATTTAAAATATTGTTTGCACTAATTAATTTTCATATTTAAGGTTAGGGCCACCCATTGTTGAGATTGAGTCATAGTGCATGATAAATTTGATCATTAGATCAAAAGTTATTTAAGGGATTCCTTTTTTTCTTTTTGCTCTGTACTTTGCTACATCGTATTTTGTCAATTAGTATTTATTTTCGATTGTTTAATTTCAAAAGAAAATGGGGAAATGCAGCCCTATCTTTAAATGAAAATAGAGAAACAAATTTCTTTACTTTTGATATTTTTATCCATTTAAAAATGTATTTGATGTGAAAAAATATCTACAGTTGCTGATATGATTTGCTATATGACGATATTTCTACAACTTCATTAATTTATGTGCTTCCATTTTAGTAAAAAATAATTTTTAGAATTATCTTGAAACTCAGTTCTGTACATGCTGTTAAGTTTTTAAGTAAATCATATTAGAAATGAAGCGGTTATGAAACAATAAAAGAGTTAAACACATTCTTTTTTAATACATTGAGCATAATATCAATCATTTTAAATATAGTTCAAAACATGAAGTATAATATAAAAACAAATCCATGTTTTAATTTATTGCATGCTAAATAAAATTGCTTAGAAAAAACAAGCTTTTGTTTTTGAAAATTACGCTAGTGCTTTCACTTAATTTTTGTAATAGTAAATTTAGGACTGGAAATTTTTTTTATGATAATTACATTTAATAGTACTTTTTTAATTATCATTTTTTTTACTATTATCAATAAATATGACAGTTAAATTTTCCTAAAAATCCTCTGTTTTATTTTTAGTTTAAGTGTTTGAAAGTCTGATTAGGTTTAGGATTATGTTAAATAAAGAAAAGTTTTCTTTATAATTCATCACAAAAATAAAAAAATATTAATGCCTTTCAAATTAAAAAAAACTTCTATTATAATTCCTCTTACTGAAATTGAAAATTGTATAATTATGAACAGGTATCAAACCTAATGTTAATCTAAAAAATAAATAAATAATAAACTCGAAAGAATTAGAACAAAACCAATTGTAGCAAAATTATCTTAAGAAACTTCTTCATTAAAAAATATATATATTAGTTATACATTGAATATTCTTGGGTTGGTGATGTATAATAATTAAGTGGAGAAAAAGAAAATAAACTCTGATGTGATAGCAGTTGTGATAAAAACTCGATTGTTTAGAGATAGCACTAAGACCACTTTACTGTTCATTACCTAAATTATTATGAAAGATTTTAAATTATGCTTACCTGTGGGTATATGTAACCTCCTGAATTGTGATATAAAATTGGTTAAGTAAATTTTTAATATTATGTTATTATACAAAATTGCTTTATAAATAAATAGAAAAGCTTTTTTCTTTTACTAAAATACTATCATTAGTAAATTTTTTATATGCCACATTATTAAAAACTTTGCATTAATTCCAATTATAGTGCACATATAAATTTTAATTATTTATTTTACCACTCTACTTCTTAAATTCTACGGTAGAAAATTATTTTCTTTATGATTAGAATTTAATAAATCCTAGCAATTCTGGATCGAACTGGTCGACAGCAAATAACAACACACTTTTCCTTAAACTATAAAAATTTATACTTTTGTAATGCGGAATATAAAACAAAGAACATCACTGAAACTATAAAAATTTTACAAGCTTATAGTCATTAAAAAGATGGCAATACCATATAACCCAAGAGTAATTCCAATTTAAAAAATTTTTGTTTCTATAAAACATTAATTTTATTACAATTTTGTTATGTGACATATTTTTTTCAATAGTTACATAATATAAATGTTTATCTGGTTCCCTGAAAGAACAATGGCAATGTGAAGTTCTTTGTGACTAATCAATAAAATAAAATAAAAAATCTGTTATCTTTGTTATGCTATTGGAGAAACTCATTTTGATCCAATATCTTAGTGTCATTTTTTACAGCTGATTGTAATTGACTGATTATTCTTTTTGACATCTTTTAACTCATATATGAGAAACAAAAACTTATTTTTATTGTAGTACCCAGTAATATAATACTTGGTCCAGTTTGAATATAATGGGTCAATATTAAGGTGAGATATAGGGCCATGTAGTACATAATACTGAATATTGACTTTGAATTTCCTCATTTTAACGCTATTCAACACACTATTATATATACATACATAGTAACCTATAAGGCCCCCTATTAGGCCTATAATTATTTCCTCTGGTAGGGTACACTAGTACCCAGTAGTATAATAGCATTATATAATTTTTTAAAATTATTAATACTAATGAAAGATTTGCTTTACATATTTTACTTTAACGGTGAATTTTATTTGACTATTCCAACTAAATAAGAATCAATTATCGCATTTATCAGCATAATTTTTGTTTCTACATAAATTTGTACCGAATTTTTCTTTTCTAATTATGATTTCGACGCCCGGTGGCTGATCGGTAGCACTGTCGTGCCACAGGTCCCTGGTTCGATTCTCAGGCCGGGCGAGGTTGACTCAGCCTTTCATCCCTTCAGTGGGTCGATAAATGAGTACCAAGCATGCTTGGGAACTAAACACTGGGGGTTCTGCATTCGGCTGACCACCTGACCGGAACATCTGCTCCTGCACCCCAGAGCCCAAGGTCAAGAAAACTGAGATGGGCACAGTAGGCCTTGGCCCTCTAGAGCTGTCGCGCCGCTGAGTTTAGTTTTTTTTTTAATTATGATTTTCAAATATGCAGCTTTACATGCCAAAGTAATTTGATTTTCTAGTAAATGCATTAAAAATAAGTTGGTAGTCTTAATTCTGTAATTAGAAAAGGTCCAAAAGTGGTGTAAATTGTAGTTTTTTTTTATTTCTCTCCTTTCTAAATAAATTATAGTTTTTTTAAAACAGTTTCTGCGATATTTAAAAGCACATAAAACAAGTTAAAGTTTTGTTTTAAAGGCTTTAAAATTATTATGCAATGAAAGTTAATGTAATTTCTTAATTAATAAGTATATTTCCAAGAAAATTCTGTCAAAAGATAAAACTGAGCAATATATTTGGGGCAAAATGCATACGTGTGGCATATAAACTTTATTCAAACTGTTCTAACTAAACATAAGGCCGACTTCCGTACAATTAATAAACTCCTACAGTTTTGGTTATCCTAAAATCGAACAAACATTGTTTGGAATAAGTTTTTGAAAAAATTTTTGATATGACAAAGGTTTAGATAAAGTTTTTTCTTTCTCAAAAAAATCTCTTCTTACAAAAACTAAGTTTATGAAAAATTCTATATAATGATATTTATATTTTAAGTAAAAAAGAATATCTGACCCTTCTTATTATCAAAAATAAATGAATAAAAAAGACGCTTATTTAATATTGGAACAACCCTCCACAATCAGTCTACTATGATCATTAATAAATTGAAATTTGTAAAATATCTAAACTGTTGGCTGTTGGTATTACTTATACAAGTTAGAAGATAATGAGTTTGATATCCTTTTATAACTTGATATATTCAAAGGGTAAATATTAAATAAAAACTTAGAAAGTATAATTAATTCTTATTTTGGTACATGCTTACTAATTATCATCTTCAATTTTAGCGCTCGAAAGAGACCGGTTCCATATCGACGGCCCTCACCACCCACACCTAGCAGTACTAGTTCTTGGTCTTATCACTCTTTTTCCAGATCTTCCTCCCCTCTACATCCTACGAAACACTCCCCCGCTTCCATTTCCAGCTCCAGAAGTTATCGCAGTCGCTCTCATTCCTGGAGTCCAATTCTTAAACAAAAATATGAACTCACAGTAAATAGTGCATTTCGATAATGCTTTGTTTGCTATTTCAATTGGTGCACCTTTGCTTGCAAGAACAAAAGTGTATGGATTTTAATATTTGTTAAATATATTTTCTTGAGCTTTAATCTAATTAATTTATTGAAAAGCATTTTGTTAACTTTAAAAACTTATACAATTTTATTGCTTCAACTAAGTATAGTGATACTGAATAAACATATTGTTTAAGACACTTTTAAAAGGAACCAATTGCTGTGCCATTGATTTTGGAATTGTTATGTTCTTGATTTTTTTATGTGCCAATGTACCACTTTATTAAACTATAAAATATGCATATTATCTAAATGTGTGATTTGCTAAAACACAAATTTAAAAGTATCTTGCATAAAGTTCATTCAAACAAATTTGTTTTCTTAATCTACGTGTTCTTTTTAACTAATCCCATTTTTAATTTTTTTTTCTCAAATTTATTTTTATGTAATAATATCATTTTGTAGTAAATTAATGAATTTTTTTTTTGTATTAAACTATTCCTCCTAAAAATTTTCTTATCATATTGAAAAATGCACCGTTGTCTAGAAGTAATTTTTACTTTAAACAAAACATTTTTTTCCGTGTTAGTAAATTTAATTAGTGAGATTTTATTTTTTGGTGCAATTTTACTCTAATAGCTGTGAAAGCAATCAAGTGTATGTAGAGAAATTTTTGTGCATATTTTGATCCTATTTGTAGTAATTATAATGTCTTGTGATCTTTAGCTGTAGTAACAAACTTCTGCATTTGAAATCATATATGTATAAAAACCTGTCAATAGAGCTATTTTATATGTTGTGGAATAATTTTTTCAATGTAATGGATTTTTTTTTTTTTTACATTGTTTTGAGTTTTTGCAATGTGGTGGACTCAAACGTGTTAAACTTAGTACGGTCTACCAGAAAATACATTTATTTTGGCTGTAAAATAAGCTCTTCATTTATGAAATTAAGTTTTTTTCAGTTGCATTCATTAAAATGTTTTTCGGTTTTGGATTTATCACTGTATAAAAGTTATGGTAATAAAATGTATGTATGTTTGTTATAAGAATCTTGTTTTAATAATTAGTGAAGAATTGTTTTCATTAAAAACCTCTATCCACTTTATTTGAAACTAGCTGATTAATAAGGTTAGGGCTAAAAGAGCAATAATGACTTGAAAATAATTTAAATTAAGTATATTCTTAAAAATAAGTACTTCTGATGCTATTATGTACACATACCAAACGATATGCAGTAAATTGTCATAAATTTGATCATATTCTCTTACAGGAAGTTTTATAACTGCAGGCTTTATAAAACTAGAAAATACTACTAGAAGTAAGCACTTTGAGATCAATAAGCAAGCTAGGTGCCTTTACGAATATATTAATCACCTAAAAATCAATTTTGAGACCATAGATTATTTGACAGACTAGACCAGAGGTCGCCAAAGTGGTCTATATAGACCCCCAGGGGTCTATTTAACATAAACAGTGGTCGATCTGAGCCTCGGGGTCGATTGGTCGAAGGATTATCAGTATTTTTCAGATATGTGACAATTAGAAATAAAAGAAGAAGACTTGGAAATATATACAGGTAATCTTCAGAAACTTAGCAACGATTTTAAACTGTGTTTTGTTGATTTGGAAAACATTGACATCCCTGATTGGATTATTGTGCCATTTTCTGCTCAAATTGAAAATGTGGACATCAACCTGCAAGATGAGCTTGCTGAATTATTATGGGGATTTGAAGCAAAGACGCTTTTTAAAAATTTAACAATAAGCAAATTTTGGACAAATAAAAAATATAATACAAAAATATGTAAGACTTTACGAAATAGCTCAGCCATTTATGATAGCATTTCCAAGTTCCTATATGGTTGAAGCCGGTTTCAGTCACGAAAATTCAATCTTAACTAAGAACAGAAATTAAATGTGGAGTTTCGAGGGGATTTAAGATTAAAATTGACCAATTTTGAACCCAATGTAACGAACCTTGCAGGAAAAAAAAAACACCAGACAAATCTATGCACTTATTTCTACTTACTTACTATACAACGGCAGGCCACTTATTTCTACTTACTTATAATTACTTATTATTTCATAAATATTAAGGTATTTATATTTCAACATTAATATATTTTTCATAAAACTATTGTTACACTATGTACTATTACTTTAATAAATGTTCAAAATCATAAAATAAATGTACAAACACAGTATCTAATAGAGTTTTAATTTAATTAACAGAAAATTACTTTTATGAGGGTCGATGGAGATTTTGAAAAATTATGTAGGGGTCAATGATCAAAAAAGTTTGGCAACCCCTGGACTAGACAGATCAAACCTTTTATGTATTATTAAAACACTTTTTTTTTTGTTGATAAAATACCCTTTTTTTCAATAATTTTTTTTTTACTTATTGTAAAATTTATTTATTCTTTTAAAACTGATTGAAAAGTGTGCAGTATATTTGTTACAAAACACTAAAAAACATAGGAAGGATGCTCACTCACATTTTTGTGTTCCAGTATATAATTTAGAAATTTTAAACAAAATACAGTTAGAAAAAAAAAAATTCTATATCACTTTTGATTTCAGAATCCTACTCATTTTTACTGCAAAATTAGGTTTTTTAGTTGCTGTATTCTCATATAAGGCTAACTGTGAGAGGTTTTATGTTCTTCCTTTTCTCTTTATTTAATTCAAAATTAGAAACTTCCAATTATGTGCCTTAAATCCACTATGTGCATAGTCATATATTGAGAGTTGTAAAATAATTTGGACATCGACAGGTTCATAGTTGGATGTAAAGACAAGCTGCTCTTTATTTATATGCTATTTTTAAAGCTGTTGTGAGCTAGTAACAGTTATTCATAGCTGTTAGGTTAAGTTATGTTTGTCTCTATCCAGTGCCCCCTCTATGATGATTATGAAGATGGTGCAAAATTTTATTAAGGAGTTATGGAAGAGAATTTTATGCAGGAATTAGAAAATTTTAGGAAGGAAGAAGATTTTTTTTAAAGGTTCTGTCTTTACATGAAAAAACGCTTTTGGCGAATAATGTGCTATTTTCACTACTTCTGTAAGTTTGTAATAGTTATTCATTACTATTAGGTCAAGTTTAACTTATCTTTTAATAACTTCTTTCCGGTTAACATTGAAAATAGCAAAAAATTATCAATATGAAGAAAAGCCACAGTTTTGTGAAAAATGTTTGTGACCTAATTTTTTAATACTTAAAAAGTTACTTTTAAGTTGTATTATCTGGACTCATAAAAAATTGCGAAATTGAGAATTAGTCATTGATTTTGATAATTTCCATCTAGCTGGAAAACACTTGCCGAATTGGCAATTTTTAAAAAAAGTTTAATAATTTTAACATTTTAAAATTATTTGGCCTTTCTTGAAGCCCCAATAAATCTTTACGGCAAGGTATAGATGACATGAAATGATAATCATTTATGCCTCAAGAGTAAGGCACATAAGAGGATGCTATACCGTTAGAGAAACTTTTCATCACAAATTCTGTTTTACTTCCATAACTAATTTAAAGTATAGAGAAAGTGAATCCAGGTAAACCTAGAGTAAGCCATGAAGTTTCAATTGCTGGAAGAAAAAAAATTCGAAATTGTACAATCAAATTAGTGAAAGAGACCATCCCCACATTGTGTTCATTTTGTTATATTGAAAATTTCTTATCAGTCTTTTAAACGTCATGGCTCACTCTAGATGAGCCTCAACTCACTTTTTCTATTCTTTAAATTACCTATGGTGGTGAAATAGAATTTGCTTTAAAATGTTTCTCCAATAAGCTATGGCTTTCTAATATTTCCCAAGTTTCAAAGCTCTGTTAAACGAAAAGTGCTGTGACTGCCCTTGCTCTGCGAATGAGCTTCCAAAAACACCCTTAAAATTTTTTTAAGTACTATACACTGTGCATGAAACTATGACTTAGAAACCGAGGTAAACATAATGCACTAACATTTACTAAGGACTTCATCTAATATAATTTAGTGGAAGCAGGTTTAAATAGTTACTTGCACTCTTTACTGATAAAAATCAGGAAAATATTTGCAAGATCAAGAAAATATTTTCTTTTTTAACTACTGTTTTTGGTATAATCTACATTAACCCTTTATTTATCAAAATATTTCTGTCACCTATATTTTAAAATAGGTAGATAATTGCCACCGTGTTTAAAGACTCACCTTAATTCTTTTCATTACACTATATATTTTCTTTCTTAAAAAAAATTGGAAAACCAAGTATCAAATCTGGAAATTACTAAATTAGTATAAATAATTTTTTTACTCTCATACGGAGAAAACTCTTTTACTCATACTTCTTTTACTTAATAGTAAAACAGACATATTAAGTAACACAAACGATATTTCTTAACAGCTTGAAATTTTCTACTTGATTTTCAAAATTTAAACATCTTTTAATTTTATGACAACGACGAAGAAAAAGGTAATAGTAATGCAATTATTTCTAAATTAAGTGGATATATTTTTTCAAATACACTACAACTGCATGATTTAAAATTAAAATTGGGTGATACCTCTGTAAATTTTTTTAAATGAAATGACTTAGCTGATTTTTTTTCTTTTAACAACATCCAACAATTTTTTGGGAGAGGGAAAAAAGTTAAAATTAAGAAAAATTGAGATAATGCATCTCTCTTGTAATTATTACTATGATAAAAATATGACATTTAATTTTAGATAGCACACCAAATCTGTTTTACATTTGATAGAAATTTTTTGATAAATAAGATGTCATAATTTTGCTAGGAGTCATTGCAAAGTGATTTATGAACCTTAAATTTTGGTATACCTAATAGAACGATATACCTGACTTTTTTTTCTCATATTTCCCCTTAAAGTTGGAACCTCTATTTTGTTGAATTGATTCTTCAAAATTTCACTATCCCCATATTTTATCTTCTGGGATACGTATAACTGAGATATTTTAAATAAGCATTTATTGGTTTTTAACATTTGCAAGAGTTATGCGTTACATGGTACAATTTTGAAAAGTTACTATGAAAGATATTAAATTCATTATCTCTGATTTAAACTGAAATTGCATTAATTTATATATCATACATTTAATAATTACATTAATAATTTTTACTATTTTGTTTAAACTGGTTTTTAAAAATAGATGCATTAAGTTCACGATCACTCATATAGTAAAATTTTGTGCAGCGCACCCGATGCAGCTTTTTTGATACTTTTCCATTTTAGTCTAATTTTGTAGATGAGGAATCTATCCCAGACAGGCGTATCTTCGCAAAATTACGATACTTGTATCTACTAGAGAGAATTTGAAAAAATATATACTTTTGATTCAAAATTTTCTTTATATAAAATTAGATTTCTGCCATACAGGATGATAAAATGCTTGTCAAGGGTAATTGTGACACAAAGGGAAAAACACTAAAAATTTTATGTGCAAAAAATCGATATCAAAATATTAATTTATAAACCACACGTTTTATATTTAACATAAATTTGCGAAATTTTACTTAAATTACCTACTAATGAAGAATATCACATCTTCAAGTAACTAATTCAAGAAAAAAATAATAATTTTTACAAGAATCGCGTTGTCAGATTTTAAAATCGCGTGAATATGAATCGCGATATCGAATTTTTAAAAACACGAGAATACAAATAGCGATATTGGATTTTTAAATTGCGTAAATACGAATAACGAGGCATTATTTTTAGATAGCGTGAATACGAATCGCATTGTGCCGATTTTAAATCTCTTAACGAAATTAACCTATTTCGTTTTTTAAACGAAAATCGGTGTATTTGGTTTTGAAAACGTGTAAATAGAAAACACGTCATTAGATTTTTAAATTGCGTGAATAGGAATCGTTATGTACGATTTTTTTAAATCGTGTGAATATGAATTGCCACGCACAACTTTTAAATCAGGTAAATACGAAAATCGATGTTTGATAATAAAATCAAATATGAATCCTGATATAAGCAGATTCCGCCGCAGTTTCAAATATTCAAAATGACGAAAATCTGACCAACCAAAAGAATCAAATTGGAGGAAGAATCACACTTATGTAAATATCTGGTTAATGGGATTTAGCAGGTTTAAAAATTTCGTCTGATTATTTTAAGTTTTAGATTCGCGGAAATCTGCGAACCTTTGATCTTGATTTAATTCTGCAATAATATCCCTGATTCTAGTTCTTAAGACTCGGAAAAATAATACGAAAAATCCGGAATTCCAATACCATCACCCCTGGTTTGTATTTTTTACTGGTATCCTAGAAGCACTCATCATTGGTATTACTGAGTAAAGTGTTAGCAAACACAAGCTAGAAGTTACACATTTCATTCTGCATAACAAAAAATTAAAAAAAACATTAAAAATACTACACCGATTCCCTCAAAGCACTTCTCTGGAAAGGGCGAGCAAACATACGTTCTAAGTTACAGGACGATTTATTCTACTTGAATTTAAAATAGATATATTCACTATCTTCAAGCTGATAAACTTTTGCACTGTAGGTGTAAACATTCTTTTAAGTTGCTTTATAGGAAACAATCTAGGGAACCTATTATACAAAGATGACTGAACACCAATTTACTGATACCTTAACAAATAGATCAATAGAAACGAGCTGCCAGCTTTTTTTTTCCATTCGTTTATAGCATTTCTTAGTGTATACTAAATATGAATCTGTTTCTAGATTTTTCAGCTTTTTACTGGTATTTTAGAGCTTTGAACTTTCACTTAAGGGTGAGCATTTACTATAGGTTCTCTAAACCAGTCATCACTTTATAANCGCGTTAAAATTATCAAATGTTGACAGGTCTGCGGTGATAAAAAGGTTGGAGAACACTGCTCTAAACCAGTCAAAACTTTATAATTATATTGGCTAAATTTATTATCATAATACTGGATTCACTTTAATTATATGCACAATAAGAGATTACTACATAATTTTTTTTAAATAATTATATTAGAAATACATTATTTGTTTCCAATACAGTAAAATCTATTAAGTCTACCATATCTATGTGTTGATCACCTGTCTTAAGTTGATCTTAGTGATAAAATACCAAGCTGGCAAAAATAATTAAATTTTCCTTTAATAGTAGACCTTTTGTCGTAAAGAAGCATTAAATTGTTGTTCCACAAGTGAGAAATTTGACAGCTTCCACTGAAAAAAATTTATAACATATATTGTAACTTCTTGCTGAAAATCTTCAATTTATAAGCAAAAGTATAATTTCTATTCTACGTGGTTAATTGTTATGTATGTTATACATGAATTCTTTACCCAAAGACTGTACACTCTGAAAAGGTGTAAAGCAAAATAATTTTAATTTTCTCAAAACTAAAGCAATCTATTTGAGAAGGCACTTAAAAACAAAAAGTGAAGAAAAATGTGCTGTTTTAAGTGACCTAACTAATTATTTCATAACTTGATTAAAAATAACCACAAATCAGTTTTTCAAATTGTTCTCTAAGAGAAAAAACATCAAATTTAACTAGAGGGGAAAAAACTAAACAACTTACAAAATATTCTGTAATCAGTAGTTAGAACTAGAAAATCTTTAATTTTAAAGGTATTAAAATTTTATTGTCTGATAATAAAATTTAGTAAATAGTACAATAGAAAAGGAAAATTCTCTAAAAATTTCTTCATTATTATTTTTTTTTTCATTCTGTTTTTACAATTTTTAAACAAATCATAATAAAATAAGCTTTTTTTTCCCTTCAATATTTCGCAAAATTATTATATTGGAAAAAATGTTTTACACCTAAATCTTTCATTTTATTCCCTGGTGAATTATTAAGTAGGGTGAATCAGAATGTCCGTAGTAATTTTAGAATCATAAATAGTATTAATTTTCTTTGTAGGCTGATACTATTAATCTCACTTAAACAAAAATACAAAGGGAAAAAAATTGTCTTACTAACCATTCTGAAGTCAACATTTAGATATCAATTCCACAGATACATAAGAAATGTTTAACATCAGATAACAAAGATAATAATAATTTAAAGATAATTCAAATGATAGCAAAAACATTTATTTATTCCTCAAGTTACAGGCAATAAACAAGCATAATGAAATGTGACAGTAAAATTCATAGACAATGAAAGAACAAATTTGATTTTAAAAACATTTTCGTTCCTTTTAACACTAAAATTAAAAAAAATAATAATTTCTGAATAATTAGCGTAACTGATATCGATGATGAAAAATAAGCAAAAAAAAATCTTACAAATTATGATATATCATCTTTTTTCACTTTAGTAAGGATGACTTTTGGATAAATATTGTGAAGTTGTGAGTAACTTAGAACAGACATTTTTAATTGCCTTCCATCTGATGAGTGGTAAGTTACAAACACACAACTCAGATCATCAAGAGGTTTATTTTTAGTTTCATTTTGAAGTGGACTTTTATCATTGGAATCTTGGTCAGTTTTCAATTCCGGTTTAACAACATTACCAACCGTTTCTTGCTTGTATTTCACGGGCAGCCCCTTATGACACGCATCGTGATGCTCTCTCAGTTTAGAAGCAAACTCAAAACGTTTATTGCAGTGGCCACACGTGACTCTCATTTTGTGCTTCGTTGAGATGTGCTTAAGTAGGTTATCTTTTTCTGCAGTGAAAAGGCAAAACTCGCATTTATAAAATCGTGACTCGTAGTCACCACTAGAAGAGGGCATCACAACTGAGAACTCCAGCTGAAGACGGGAATGAGACTTCTTGGAATGGGTAGCAATATGTTCTTTGCTAGAGTAAGCAGCTCCACAGTGGGAGCAAACATACACTTGATTTCCAAATCGCACCTTTTTATATGGTAAATCTTCTTCCGTACTTTCGAGTGAACGTTTTTTACGAGGTACGTCAGGAAAGTCACCAATAGATTTGTGAGGTTGACCTGGATGGTTTGTAGTTAAGTGTCTCTTTAATTCAGTGTTATTATGTAGACGCTGATAGCAATATCCGCAAGCAATAATAGCAGATAATGAGGATCCACTATTTCTTGAAACAAATCCCCTAACTTTAAATGGACTGTCAGGATGCATTAAATCACAATGTTTCTTTACTGCAGCTAAAGTATCTTTCCCTGATTTACAATAAGAGCATTCAAATTGTACATCCTCAATTTCATTCAATACTAACTTAAGATCTGGGTTGTAGTAATAAAAGTATTCCATTTCATCACGCACAGAATGTACACTTTCAACATGCATTCTTAACTCTTGTAGAGTAAACATCTTCTTTATGCAAAATCCACAGCGATAACGCTTAATGTCACTCGAAGAATCCGGCAATGTCTTGGAACCATCATTTGAAATATCATCTGATCCAGCAGAGAGACCAGAGGGGATGTCCATTTTACGCATACTTTTCAACATGTCGACCTTGGCACCGACATGAGCCCTTTCAAAATGTTTTTCAATGTTATATTTGTGGTTTGATTCAAAAGAACAAATACTGCAAACATAAAATTTGGCAAACCAACAATCTTTAATAGCCTCATTTTCATCTTCTGCAGCTTTCCCAATCATATCTAACAAACATTCTATCTTCGTACTTTGAATTTTCTTTCCGATTTCTTCTTCAATTGTTGAACTTGAAATTATGAGAGAAAGGAAAGTTTTAGGGTGATGTTTTTCATCGACATGGAATCGAAGTATTTTTATATCCACACAACTAAATGAACAATATCCACATTCATGAGGCTGGTAATTTTGAGAAAGGCACAAAGGTAAGTGTCTTTGCCAATGATTTGAATAATTAAAATTTTTGGAACAGTTTTTACAAGTATAAGGTCCTTTCTTAGATACCAGAGTTCTTTCCTTCAAAACTAATTTAACCAATTTTTCGATTTGAAGATTGGGTATGACAGAGCAGTTTAATTGACTTTCTGGGTGTTGTTTTAAAGTGTGTATTTTCAAATTGTTTTTGCTCCCAAATCGCTCGTGGCAATAGTCACATTTAACTCTTTTGTAATACAATTCTTGGTATAAATGATTTTTCATAATACATGCACTGCTACTTTTATACAAACAAAAGTAACATTGAAAATTTTCTCCCTCAATGACGAAGGGACAATTAATTGGTAATGCTTTAATTTCAGAATTTTGCTTTGATTCCTGATCTTCTTCTCTGACAATAATAATTTTAGCATCTGAGGTATTATGCTTTTTTAAATGTTCTGAGACTCTATTTTTATCAGAGTCAAAAAATTCACATGAAGCAAGACCACAAGCATACAAGTTAGCTCCATGGCAAGAAAGATGAGTAATAAAAGTTTCCCAAGTCTCAGATACTTCAGGGCAATGAGGACATGAAAAATTTGCTGCTGCATGAATATTTCTTAAATGGCCGATGTAGGCTGACATATTTTCAAGCTTTTCTGAACAATAAGGAATGCCACATATTAAATCAGAGCAAATAGATTTTAAATATTTTGGATAGAAAGTGCTGCCTACTACTTCATACAAACTTGCTTCAAAATTTTGGAACACTTTGACAGGCTTTTCAATTACTTTATCGCTGCTATCTGCATCTTTCTCAACAATAGGAGCAGTAATTGCAGTGTCGTTTGTTTTTCCTGTCGAATCTTTTGTCACAGAGTAAGAAACTTGTTGCACCTCTGTGGACGCATCCTCTTCTGTTCCACGCATGTAAGCTTTTAGTGGCATGTCAGCGTGAATGGAACAGAGATGTAGTAAAATTTCATCCTTAGTCTCTGACCCATGAATGCAGTAATTACACTGAAATGTATTGATTCCATGTAAGCGGTAATGATTAAGCAATCGTTTGAGAGAAATGAAATCAACCTTACAGTAGTAGCAGTAAAAAACAGTAACAGTTCGATGAACTGATTCATTATGAATTTTGAAATCTTTGGGATCAAAGCTTTGGTAACTACATTCTCCTACTGCACAAATGTAAGGCCAAGTTGTATTCAATGTATCATCTGTTTCTTTGATTGGAGAAGCCGCACCACTTACAACAGGCTCACAACTATATATTTCAGTGTTAGTATCTTTCGTGTGATAATTTTTTATATGAATCTGAACATGGATTTTACTATATGCTCGATAAAAGCAGCTGCTGCATTGATAGTTACGTTTACTGTGTTCACCAACCATATGATCAGTAACACTTTCTCCTGAGAAAAATTCTTTGAGGCAGTAACAACAGTGTAGTCTCTTTCCTTTGTGTACCAAATCTAAATGCATAAAATAGTCATTGCGATCGTGTGAAGTAAAAGTACAATTATAAAGGACACATTTAAAAAAATGTTTCAATTTTTCTTCACACTTCATGGCAACAAGGTCATTTGGTGATTTTAGTTCTTCAATGGTTTTTAATTTTGAATCTTTTAAACTTTTATCATGGATTGCTGCCTGATATGGTATTTTCACATCAGGATCTTTAGTTGGATCAAGAACACTCACATCAGCCAGGTTCTTGACAACATTTTCCAAACCATCAACAGTTAATTTGGAAGCAACTTTATCAACTACATCCTGAACATCCACACTATTACGATTTGGTACCGTACTAATGACTACAGTAGCAGGGCTTCCTACTTGGGAAACTGTTTCAACAGGTAGCTTATTTGGAAGTTTACCATTAGCATGATCACCAAAATGATCAATAAATCCACGAGTGTTTTCAAATTTAAGATGACAGATCAAACAAGCATTTTTGTTCGCTACTTTGTGATGAGCTATATAATGATCTTCAAGAACTGATGTAAATGCAGCCATAAAATCACAACAAGGACAATTTAACATCTTATTTGAATCAAGTTGACTCAATGACAATGATGTTTTGGGCTGTTTAGGTTCAACATTAATAACATCATTCACCCTCTTAGCCCAGCGACCAGATCGTCTCAGACCAGTTTGCCCTGGTAATTCTTCAGGACGCCAAGATGGATCATCTGGATCATCAGAATCACTACTGCTAGAGGGTGGTCTTCCCCTACCTCTTCCCCTTCCACGACCACGCCCTCGAGACGACGGCATTACTTTACCCCGAGGTGTTGAACTAGCATTCATACCTGTAGGGATTGTTGGAGTTGAGGCAGTTACAGGTCGAACGGAAGATATGGTTGGAACTCTCGGTGTAACATTGGGAGTTATTGGCCTTATGATTGGAGAGGCGTCAGCAATTTTTGGTAATGAGTTAGTTGAATTAGAGGGGGCAGTTCCTGGGTTTCTTCTATTTTTATCTTTAAAAGGGCAGTCATCTTGCATGTGTAATATAAGACAATGTGGTAATGTAAAAATTTTTTGACAATGCACACAAAAAATGAAAGGACTTCCTTTATGGCAATGTCTCAAATGATGCACAAATGTTTGCCCGCTAGTAGTTTCAAATGTGCAATCCTTCACACCACATCTGTAGATCATTTCTTCTTTTGTACATGCCCTCTCTTTAATATGAGAAACCAAAACTCCAGCATTACTGAAACATTTTCCACATTGTTTACACCACATAGATAAGTCACTACGATGATCAGTGCGGGTGTGCTTCATAAATTCTTGATCATCGTGAGTCTGAAACTGGCATGATGCGCAAGTAAAAACTACTTCACCCGAGTCTTGAGAGGTGTTTGAGTTGTTGGAAGTTTCATTGGTATTACTCCTGACAACTGGAGTAGCTATCTGAGCAGGAGTTGGCATTTTAACAGCAGGCTTATCTGGCTTTTCTTGCTTTATTTTATCAATAGGAAGAGGTGCAGGTATACTAATACTTGCACTTGAATTATTGTTCAAACCAACAGCAGATGTTTCTCTTTGTCGCTTAGTAGGAATAATCTCTATAGCTAAAAGAAAAACAGGATTTGAGTGAAATATCAAAAAGTTTTGGAAGTTGCAGCAATTTCTCTTGAGTGGAAGTACAATTTATTTTAAATGTGCATATTTAATCAATTAGTAGGACAAATATTTATTAATCAATTATTTAACTGGCAATATTTTAACTTTTAGAAATACAGTCGAACCCCGCTATAGTGAGCCGTCTGAGGACTCAGTAATGCGTCCACTATAAACGATGGTTCACTATATCCAAATTTTTTGAAGAACATTTTTTGCATAAAGACAGTTGAATGATTGAAAATTGGGTTTGCAATTTTACATAAGTTATTAAAAAATTATTAACTAATTAACAGATAATAAAGCAAAAAGTAATGAAAAAAGTACTTACATAGCTAAAAAATAGTTTTAATTTCACTTTTTATGAAAACAAATTTGGGATTTTAGATTGAACTCAATTTGATTTTAAATAGAGCTCACAAATTTTCTTATCTACAATGTGCAAAGAATGACAGATTTTTTTTATCAACATTTTCTGTAGAAAAAAACATATCAAGGACATTTCTGGCTGATTTTACTTCAGCTATAGATAGGAATGCATTCATTTTCAGTCCCAACACCTGCAAGTTTAAAGATGGAAGACTGAAAAAGATATTTAGAGAAATGAAATTTGAGTCCACTATAACCGATTTCCAAGTTCTCAGCTGTTCACTATAAGCGTTAAAAATAACATTATTTGAATAGGAGTACAGACGGGACCACTAAAAAAGTTTACTACATCAGAGTGTTTACTATATCCCAGATTCACTATAGCGGGGTTCGACTGTATTTTAAACTACATTGAAATATTTTTTATCTATGTGAACTATAATCAGTAGTTCCCCTTATGTTATATAGTGCTTTAAATATGGCAAATTTAGTAAAGTGTAGGCAAAATGAAACCAAACTTTAAAAAGGAGAGGAAAAATTAAAAAAAAAAAAAAAATTCTTCTCCAGTATTAACAGCAGAGGAAAGGTACATTATATTGCCTTTTTATAAATTCCCAAAACATTTATTACGATATTACCACTCGTAAGCTTATCTAATTTATCACTCTTTGTCGTGTTTTATTTTTGCTTCTGCCATTTTCATCTTTTTTCAAACGAAGTTATTGGTACGTTTTTACACATCATTTTAATAATCCCATATTTTTATTACGTTATTACGGCACGCAAATTTCAAATCTTTCATTTAAATAATCACTTTTTGAAGTGCTTTTTTTTTTTTCAATTCCATCATAAATCCAAGAGACATTTTTTTGGCATTTATGACTACTAATTTCCACGTTGTTTATAAATTCCTGTTACATTTATTACATTACGACTCGTGAGTTATAAATCGCGCATTTAATTTATCACTTTTTGCCGTACTTAATTTGCGCTTGCATTGTAAATCCAAGTTATTTTTAATCATTTTATCAGCAGTTTCTGCGATGTACTCTCCCATAGTTTAAAAATTTTTTTTATCGTTTTTGTTATGACATGCGAGTTTTAAATTACGCTTTTAAATAATTACCTATTGGCACACTTTATTCATACTGATTTCATCATAAATGTAATTCTTTTTTAAAATTTATTGTGGTGCTTTTCTTGGTGATTGTGACAATCCCGTTATTTTAACTACGATGCTAATACGCCACGTGAATTTAAATAATCACTATTGTATGCAATTTATTTGTGCATATTTCATCGTAAATATCAGTTATTTTTTTATCATTACGGCAGTTGGTACTATGCATTTGTAAATTAATCCCAATATTTTAACACAATGTTATTGCACTATAAAAAATTTTAAAACTTTAGGAAAATAACGATTTTTTTAAACTGCTTACTTAAGTTTAAAATATAGAGAAAACATTGAAAATAATAATGATTAAGAAAAGAGATAAAAAATTACTAAAATTTTAAAAAAATAATTTACATAGGGGGAAAAAAAAGAATTTACGTGGGGGAAAAAAAAACATTTTTAAACAGCCTGAAAACAAAATAGTGAAGAGATATAATCTCGTCATCAACTCACGCAAAAAGAAGTGCTTTCTAATATTGCTTATAATCTTGCTTTATAATCATGATGAAAATATTAATTTAAATTTTTTGGATTTAGGTATTAAAAAAGAAGAAAATATCTATATTGTCAACTTATATGATAAAAGAAATTATTTTAATTTTAATATAAATAAACTAGTTAGTTGGAATTCTAATGTTTCTAAAAACATTTATTTAAACAACATTTTTAATCAAATGAATAGAATTAAAAGAATATGTAGTAATGTTTATTTATCTAAAAAACAAACATACAAACTCTTTCAAAATTTGACAAAAAAACAATAGATACCCAAATTTAGTAATTTAGTTCTATATTAAATCATTTGGGTCAATTTTTATTATTAGTTAAAAATTCACTAAAAACTTCTTTGTTGACTAAACTTATATTTTTACCATGTGCAAATCCAATTTGTGCAAATCTGTGTCTAAAAATCTGTGCAAACCGCATAATTATGTTTCATTTTATTTAAACAAATGTTAATTTTCTAAAAATCATTAAATTTGTATAATTAAATATCAACCTTATTAATTATAAATTATCCAGTATAATATTATTACCTTGCACACATTCATTCTTGGGACAATCCAAGGTGACTAACAAATCAAACGGGCATCAGTGCTGCAGTAAGAACATGCCATAAAATGTCCCTCTATTTATGCTTTAAATTCTACATGCACTTTTTGTAATCTGGCAATCTTATTACGAAATTATTATAAATTATTCTTGAAAGATTCTGGTACATGCAAGTTCATTTGAATTCGCTACTCACTTTAAAGATTACATTTTGTGTTTTGTTGTGTATTTTTCTAACTTTTTATTTTCTGTTTCTTGCTTGATTTATTTAATTTCATATTTTTTTACTTAATGTGTTCTATTTTCGTTTCAATTTTTTAAAATGTTCCTCAAATTATTGTATTGATGTATTTTGCTTTGGGTATATTAATACAATATTAGAAAGCATTCCTTATTACAGATACAATTGTGTGAGGTGATGACAAGATTATATCTTTTCCTTATTTTGTTTTCGGCTTTTTAAACAAATTCCTTTTTAATATGAACTTTTCTTTTCCAAATATTTTTAAAAATATTTTATTTTAATAATTTTTATTCTTCTCTTTTCTTAATCTTTATTATTTTCCATGTTTTCATTATATTTTTTAATTTATTTAATGAGTTCCACATACTTGCAGCTTATGCACAGAAAATAAAACTTATTAATTCTTTTCTTTTGGTCTTTATTGTGCTATATATATATATATATATATATATACATATCGCTCATGAGCTGTATTAGTGGCACAACTTAAAAAACATGCGTTTTGGACTAAGAACAGGTGTAAATATGAAAATACACATTCTTTTCAGCAGCAATACTGCATAACTCATAATTCAACTTAAAGGTTATCTTCGTTCAAGCAAACTAAAGCATTTCTATGCGTTTTCCCTAAAAATGAAAACTTGAAATCCATGAGCGATATATATTGATAAGTTAATTATTATAAAAAATGAAGAATTTTTTTTTCAAAATTGTTTTTTTAATTTTTAAATAAGTTTAAATATTTAAAAGTATTTAATTTTCTGAAAATATGTAATTAAGTTTAATGAAAAACTTCGTGCATAGAGAACTAATTAAAGGTACTAAAAAATTTTGTGCTTAGAACACAAATGTTTATACCAAAAATAATATTTGCCGGTTAACATAATGCACAATTATTTGCTGCTAACATGACTAAGTATACATGTGGCCTTTCATTAATCTACCTGCTGTGCAAGTGGACCTTCACTCAAAAAGGTTGTGCACCCCTAATCCAACATACTTATGAATTTAATACATTCTATTATATATTCTAATACATTTAATAACATATGAATCACTTATATAAATCATATCTTAGTTATAATCGAGGTTGGCAAGTTTCTGCCGAGTTGGTTAAAACCACTGGTAGAAACCGGTTAAAACTGGCATGGCAGAAACACTTTTCTGCCACAATTGCGGCAGAAACTGGCAAAAATTCAGAAAATGACATTAAAGTAAGCTTTGAGATTGACATACAATGGATAATTCATAGAAAAAAAAACAATTAAATGTTAAACAGAGTACAATTTAGTTACAATATTATCACCATTCAAAATCAAATATTACATTGTTTGCACTCCACAGTAATTTATAACAAAAGGCAAGTTTTGATGCAGTTTCTAAACCTAAACAATTTTTCAATTTGGTATGCAGGAACGAAAATTTTGAGAAGATTCTCTCAAGTCTAACAGAACTAGTAGGCATTGCCATCAAGGAACAAGCAAGATTTGTGAAACTTTTATCTATTGCATAATTTTTAAAACTGGACCACCATGTTGCAGCTGGGGTAGTTGTCAAAACTTGACTGGAAAAATAAGTTTCAGGAAATGGGGCTGATTTGTTTTGCAAAGCTATGACATAAGGTACAAAATCTGGGTTGATATTGGCCAGTAAAATTTTGGCACTTTCTTCTTGAGCACATGATAATTTTAATCCCAAAGACTTTGGTTGCAGCATATAAGCTAGCAAATAATAATCAGTAACTGCCTGTTTAAATCTGTTTGTCACTTCTTTTTCATAAACAGCCATCAAGATTCTCTTCCTTTATTAGATTAATCCAAATATCACAAGCATCTGCAATTGAACGGTTCTCCTTCTGAACTAAATCAAGGGCAATAGAGATGGGTTTTATATATAGTAGCAGGTGTTTGACTTCCTTGTAGATCAATTGATTATTTATGACCTGATCAATTCCTTTGTCCTCTTTATCATCAGCAATATTTATTTACAAAAAATGAATTAAAAAGTTAGTTACAGTTACATTTTTCAGTTTACTTAAACAAAATGTCATTAAGCAATTACTAGAACTAATATAGACGTTTTTTTAGTTTCTGCCAGTATTTGCCGGTTATAACCAATTTCTGCCACTGGCGTGGCAAAAACCAGTTTCTGCCGGCAAAAAGCCAACCCTGTTTATAATAATCAATAACTATCATAACTATATTAATATAGCCGAACCTTGATTTATTGTTCCTTATGCATTGCCTGAATAAATACTGAACTTACCTGGGTTTGAGAAGAAAAACAGTAACTGATTCTAATTATGAAGAAGAAGAAAAATGAAAATTTTTTAACAGTTTAGGGAAAATGCTTCAAAAATTCTGTTTGATATTTATGAATCAGTTAATGAAAATGCACTAACTTGCGGTGCTGGCAATTTAAAAAATGATTGCAGTAGAAGCGATTGAAATAATGAGGAATTTTTTTGTAGTCAGTTGAACTCACAGAAAATGAACATCAATATTTGCCTCATATGTAGGAAATTTATTAATCAAATCGAAATTTCTAAATTTTTTAAACAAATATGTATATTCATCTTTTTTTTTTTGCATCATAAATATTGTTGCAGAAAGTACATATTTTTTTCCAATTCAATTTTTTTATACACATGGTACATTTAGTAATTTTCAAATAAATTACTTTTTATAAATTTTCATGTCATTATTTGACATTTTATGTTAACCTGCATTTGTTGTTTTCCTATTTTCATAATGAATGATCCCAAGAGAAACAATTGATCAAGGTTCTACAACATAATTTTCTTCACAAAAACTTTACAAAAAATCTTTGTTAAAAAAATAACTACATTTTTTTTATTTAAATTTAATGGCAGTACTCACCACCTTGAGAGGAATCTGTATCTTCAATAAATGGTCGCTTAGACTATAAATATTAAAGTCAAATTAATTTTTTTTCAACACCAAAATTTTCAATTTAACAAAATCATATTGAACATGAAAATACTTTAAATATAATATAATTAAATATGTGATTAAAAAAATTTGTCTTTTTTAATAAATAACTACAAAGCACAAGCAAAAATTATTAAATACTAGTTGGCTGCGCCCCCTGCTAGCTAACGCTCGCCAACCCCCAAAAATTGCTAGCAATTTTATTTGGTCTGCTTCGCAAACCAAGCTCGCTTCGCTCGCTACTAACTTAGGTACATTGCAAATGCATAAAATTCTAAGAATTCAAAACAATCATTCAAATCCATATGACAACTTTTTTTTTAAAAAAAAAATTACATCTTTTTAGTAAATACTAAGTCATTAAAATAAATTTGAATTCAAATAAATGACATGTAATTCGTTAAACCTATTAGAAATGTGCTATAGTATAAAATCTTAAGATAAAATTTCTAAAACTGATATCTCTTTAAAAAGGTTAAAATTTTGGCTTTCATATTCAAGTCTGTTAAAAATTGAAATAAGCGAATTGCAATGGAAAAACCTGCATAAACAAATAAATTCTAGTAAAACAAATAAATTCGTGATATAAATCAAAAATTGTCAAATAAATTCGTAATACATAAATTCGTGAAAAAAAAACGCGCTTTCGACAAAATACTAAAAAGAT